AGACCTGAAAGATGCAGCCTCCATTATCATCCTGTCATTTGCATCAGCTCTGCAGGAAGTTTCCTGCTAGAAATAAACTCTGAATTAATTTGAAGTTTCGATAGAAATTAACAAAATAAACAGGAACATGTATCTTTGTGACAAAGAAGCTCTGGTTCTGCTTCAGGCCTTGTTAGAGCTCATCCAAAATGTTAGCTCATGTAAAGGTAAATGGGAAACAGGACCCAGGGTGGATGGGATGAGTGTTACTGTTAAGGTGGATGACTGAGTGAAAACTAAACTATGGGGAAAAGCCTGGATTGACTCATATTACTACTATGCTGTGAGAAAACCTAATCTAGAAATGACAGAAGACAATACATATGAGGGCGTGCTTTGGTGGTGCAGTGGTTAGCGCACGCTACCCTCGTACGGAGGCTTTAGTTCTCGACGTGGCCGACCCAGGTTGCAATCTGTGGTCCTTTTCGCGCATGTCTCTCCCTTCTCTTATTCCCTTTTCCTGTCAGCCTACTGTTGATAAAAAGGAGCCGCTAGTGCCATAAAAACTCAAAGAGAAAAGACAATACATATGAAAAACTAGAGCAAATATTAAATAAATACTGAATGCAATCAAAGAGAACTTAAAAAACACCAAGAAAAAAAAAAATGGGGGGGTGGAGTTAAGGTCTTGCTCAGGGACCCAGAGTGGCAGTCTGTGGGAGTGGGTTTGGAACTCTCAACCTCAGGATTCCGAGCTCTATGCTCTAACCACTAGGCCGCCCCTCCACCTAGAATAGCATGAATAAAAGCATAACTGAAAACCTGAACTGAACCATAAAACCCAAAGCAGCAGATCAGGACAATGGATGAAATATTAGCAGGTCTGAGGCCATTTGGTTCAGGATCATAGATTTCAAACCCTAGATTTGTCCTTCCATCATGATCTCTAAGGGCTGCAGAGCTGAGCCCAGATGAATCCTTCCTAACAGCCTAATATCTGCTTCCAAAGCAGAGAGTCAGATGATCCAGAAACATTTCATCAGCTTCCTGTTGAATTCAGTTTATTTCTATAGCTCCAATTCACACCATGTCTTCTCAGGTCACTTTATAGAGACAGTTCAACCAGATCATCCAGTCACATTAAAGGTTCAAAGTTTTCTATCTAAGGAAAAGCAGCTGATTGCGTTCACTCATTGCAGATATTCCCCTGCATTCAGTGTCTGGGCAGCGTGCCAGAAGGTTCTTTGTTCTTTCTCTGTCTTGCATCCAGGTGCTGACAAGGCAGCGTACCTGATGGGCATCAGCTCCTCCGAGCTGCTGAAGGGACTCCTGAACCCAAGAGTGAAAGTTGGAAATGAGTTCATAGTGAGAGGGCAGACTGTGGAGCAGGTAACCAGGAGATTCATCTCTAAATTCACATAAAGTGGACTTGAATGAGTGGTTCCCGCCTGTGCCCGGCCCCAGGTGAACTACGCGGTGGCAGCTCTGGCCAAAGCCACGTACGACCGAATGTTCAAGTGGATGGTGGAACGAATCAACCTGTCTCTGTACACCGCTCTGCCTCGTCAGTACTTCATAGGAGTGCTGGACATTGCTGGGTTCGAGATCTTTGAGGTAAAACAAGAATCAGACCAACAAACAGGAAGTTCAGGTTCTAGACAGCTTCCAGAACTTTTAAAGGACTGGATACTTTAGCTTTCATAATCAATAGCTTTGTTTAAGCTTTTTGAACGTTCTGATATCAAACCTGCTTCCACCAGGAGAACCCACTGAGATCATTAGAAAGTACTAATATTCTGATATATACTAGCTATATTACTGCTTTCAAAGTAAAGGCCTATAAAACCCTATGCTGGAGATGAACAGTTTTAAGGAGGATCTGCCAAAGTTTTAGGAAGTTATTTTCAAATGATCAGCTTTTCATGACGCTTAATTACTAGTCTAGGAACTGCAGACATCATGTGCACCTTCTCCCACAGCTCAACAGCTTTGAACAGTTGTGCATCAACTTCACCAACGAGAAGCTGCAGCAGTATTTCAACCACCACATGTTCATCCTGGAGCAGGAGGAGTACAAGACTGAAGGGATTGAGTGGACCTTCATAGACTATGGCCTGGACTTGCAGGCCTGCATCGACCTGATAGAGAGGGTAAGTCTGGCGTTACCTGGAGGAGGACAAAGACACAGCATGCTGGTGAAGATTCTAAGTTATCCAGATCATAGTTATTACAGAAAAGTTCAAATCAATCCACTGGACTTTGTTTCCAAGTTTGAAGACATTTCTCTTCCATCCAGGAAGCTTTTTCAATTCAAAATGTCAGAAAGAGCGTTGAGTTCCAGGCTTTAGTAGCCCAGACCTACTGTATAAACCGCCATTGCAAAGGGGTGGACCGTTTTTGGTCAACTCTATACAACCTGGAACTCAACACCATTTCTGACATTTTTAATTGAAAAAGCTTCCTGGATGGAAGAGAAACATCTTTAATTTGGAAACAAAGTCCAATAGATTGTTTTTGAACATTTTTGAAAGGAAGAGACAGTCTACATCCAATCACAGTAAGCTGCTGTTGTTTGTGTGTAAAGCCAATGGGAATCCTGTCCATCATGGAGGAGGAGTGCATGTTCCCCAAATCCACCGACCACAGCTTCAAAACCAAGTTATATGACAATCATCTGGGAAAATCTCCTAACTTCCAAAGACCACGGCCCGACAGGAAGCGCAAATATGAGACGCACTTTGAGCTGGTTCACTACGCTGGAGTGGTGGGTGGACCGATAGATGATGGATGACTGCTGAATGGATGGATGGATGGATGGATGGATGGATGGATGGATGGAT